GAGCCGCCAAGGGGTATGACACGGTCCCGTTCGCGGCCAGTTTGTGGGGATGTCTCAAGCGGTTTGCCTGTTTTCTGTCCCAACATCCTTCGCTTTCGGAGCAGATTTGGAGGATGTCTCGAGCGAAGCGCTCATTTTCACGTCCCTAAGGGGAGCCGCCGAAGGGTATGACACAGTCCCGTTCGCGGCCGTTTTGTGGGGATGTCTCAAGCGGTTTGCTTGTTTTCTGTCTCAACATCCTTCGCTTGGAGAGCAGATTGTGAGGATGTCTCAGGCGGGGCGCTGGTTTCAGCTACCTAAGGGGAGCCGCCAAGGGTGCTTTCACGGCTGTGCTACCATAGCACTACCCTACAATATGAGATGCACATGTGGCTCATATGGCTAGACGCTCATCAAAGTAACCCAAATACAATACCTTTGAAAAAGGATGCACATATGGGGAGCTCCACGCAGTGAGTAATTGAATGTCCCTCCTGTAGCGGGACAGGCCCGACTTAACTGCAGGCCGCACACAACAAGCCAGGCCACGAGCGACAGCGGCGAGGCATCGCCTGCTCCCATGCAGCGATCAGCAAAAAAAAAAAAAAACGAAAACGGCCCTCCCCTTCTCAGGGTCCTTTTGTGGGGGGGGGTCTTGCAAGCAAGATGGCAAGCCTGGTTGGATCTGGCCGCCGACGCCCTGCGACGAGCCCCAGCGAGAAGAGCCGAGACGCCCTCGACAGTGACGAGGCTGGGCGTCTGCCGGGCGTCTGGGCCCTCGGGGTTCCCTCCTGGTGAAGAAGGCCAGGTGAACCCAAATGAGCGACGAAAAGATTGGGCTACTTAGGTTCGCCCGCACCCTACGAGCATGACCCATTTCCTCCGTCGCCCCAGAAGCGGAGATCGCGTTCGCTGCCCCTGAACTGCGTCAGTCTTGGGGACACCCCGTGAAATCACGCCCCAAATGCGCCGGCGCCAGAAATATGTCGGAAGGGCTGGAAGAACGCGCACGCGGGCGATAAAAATCAGCGGGTCTTACGCGAGATGGCATAACGACTTACGCGGTGGCTTACGCGGGCAGCTGGAACGGCACGCTACAGTGGAAACGAAGGCACTCACTGTAGCGACCTTACTCGGGCAGATTGCGCGCGAAAGTCGGCGCAGTCGACCCCGTTTGTCTGCACCAGTAGGATGAAACTGGTTGACCCTGCTGCACAGACCGAGGCCTCACCTGCAGTTGCTTGCGAGCTCGCGCAATCCGGTTTACACGCAACCCTACTAAGCGCCGCCTGCGGCGCACGCGACATTCGAACACGAGCGCATCGAACAACGCCTCCGCCAATGATTTTCAGGGAGACGGAGTCGAAAGGGTGGCGCCACAGGGCGCAACTGGCCACGCGTGCAAGAATAGCCGGAACATTGCAATGCACACGACTTCACATCGGCAAATCCCACGAATCCGAAAGGCCGCGCCGACGACCAAGCGGGAAGCCTGGCGAAGAAAGACCAGGACCCTGGACCACGCCGGAACTAGGCACCCGCAACGCACGAGCCGCGAGACCACCCGTGGACGACGAGGGAAGCCCCAGGCGCGCCTAGGTCGTCGAAAGGCCCCAGGCCCGCCTCTAGGACAACAGACCCGACACCCCAACGGCGGGGCGCGCCACCGATTCTGCCGAGGCCACCCCCGCGCAACATGAACATAAAACGAGGCGCAGCAGGCCCATGGCTCATTGCGCGCGGAAGAGCCGACTCGGCCCAAGCGCCACATTCTGCGCGTTCGCGGCGGCCACGCCCGATTGCCCGCTGGGGCAACCAGGGGCGACGGCGTCGCCGCCGGCAGGGCGCGCGAGCCCGCCATCGCCATCTTCGAGACGAGCTCCGCCCACCGCCCGTCGACGGCCGACCCTGGGACCGCCGCCCGAAGGCTGGGCGGCGATCCGGCTCTGCATCCTCGACCCCTCAGATCAGCGGTAGAGGGGGCGCCGGCGGCCCGCCGCCCCCAGCCCCCCACCTCTCCTCTCGAGCGGCGGCCCGAGAAGAGATCGCCCAGGCTCGAGACTCCGCCCCAGATGCCCAGCCTGCCCAGCGCCTCTCAGAAGTAGAGCTGCCCGTGCTCCGACGGCCGGAGACTCCACGGCGGCCCCTCGACACCCCGCCACGCTCGAAGGCCTGGAGGCGGGGCCACAGGCTCGCGCCGTCGACGATCGCACTCCCGTCGGCGAGCCCCGCCTTGCCCGGCCCGCGCGCCGACGCGTCGTCGGCGATCGGGCCCCAGCGCCGACGGCCCCGGTCGAGCACGGCTCGGGCTCGATCCAGCCGGCCGCCGCCAGGTGAGAGGCCTCGCGCGGCCAGGAGCGACCGTCGACGGCCAGGCGCGCAGACGCCGCCTTCCGCTCCAGGGCGAGGAGCCCGACCGCCGCCAGCATCGCCGACCCGGTCCTCGGCGCCCGATCGGCGGCGGCACCCGGCGAGCCCACCCCGCCGGGGGCGCGGGCCGCTCTCGGGAGCGCCTCGGGCCCGCCCCCGCGCGCGGCAGCAGGTGCCGCGAAAGGCCGCGGGAGCCCTCCGCAAGGCCGCGCGGCCCGCCGCCGCGCCGCAGCCGCCCGGGCGCGGGCACGCCGAAGGAAGACCGGCAGCCGGCAGGAGCGCGCCCGACGCGGCGGCGTCCGCACAGGGCCGCCCCGCCCAGGCGCGCCACTGGCGGAGCCTCGCGGCGCGGGCTCGACGCGAGTCCGGCGCGCGAGCGTCGATCGCCGGGGGGCGGGGCCCAGCCAGGGCCTCCAGCGCGCGCCCGCCGCTCGGCCTCCTCGTCGCCGCGACCCCTGTCGCCGAGGCCCCTCCACGGCCCGAGGAGACCCCCGATCGCGGCGGGGCGCCGACGACGTCCCGCCGACACGAGACCCACTGGGCGATGACCCCGACAACTCTGGCGAAACTCCGGGCGACGACCCGCCTCAACGCGCGCCGCCAGCGCTGCGAGCCAGAACGGCCTGCGCCGCGCCTCAAAGCCAGAGCCAACTGGCCATCGAGGAAGAGGCATCGATGCCCGAGACCGCGATCGCCGCGAGCAGCACGACGGACGGCGAGACAGAGGCCCCTCCTCATACTCCTGCACGCGCGGACCGCGCGGCGACGGCGACCGCAGCGGACGGCGACCCAACCCTCAGCGCCGCGCGTCAGCAGCGGCACCTCGGAGAAGTCGGGGGCGGCAGCGGCGCCCCGGGCCCCCACGCAAGACGGACGACGGCAGCGAGCAACCAGCGGCGGCAACGCGCGGCGCCGGAAGACCGCCCCCCTCGCCACCCTGACCCCCACAGGGCTGCTCGACGCGGCCGCCAAGGGCTCCGAATCGTTCCTCGAATGCACGGGACCCGACTTTGCATTTTTATGTTTGAGTTACTTTGCTTGTGGCTGAGACGACAACGGGGTCGAACCTCTTCACAGACACACGCCCCCCCACACGGCGAAGCGCCCGACGAGTTGCAAGCCCCGAGCCACGGCGCCCAGGCAGGCGCCCACAATCAGAGGAAGCAGGGCAGCCACTGCAGAGAGCTCGGACTGGACTGCGCCCTCAAACCTGCACGCGAATGCGGCTTCCTCTTGAAATCTAAAAGGCGCGACTCGAAAGCGCCATTTCACAACGAAGTCCCAAGGGGGGCATCATACCCTGCGCCGACCCGAATAGGACGATGCCGACGACGACGACAAGCACGACGACGGCGACGACGACGATAACGATAACGACCACTTCGAGACAAACCGCCCGGGCGCACGACCGCGCGGGCGCTGCAGCTTGCGGGGGCACCGCGCAACGCACCACCGGCGCACTGAGCACGCGACACCCCCCCACAGGAATGGGGGGGGCGACGACGACGATCTCACGGCACCCCGCCTGCGCGCGCCACAGCCGCGCGGGCGCCGGCGCGCGCGGGGGCGCAGGACAGCGCGCCACAGCGCGCAGCAAGGACGCCCAATCCCCACCTACGCGGGCACGAAGAGGAGGAGGAGGAGGAGGAGGAGGAGGAGGAGGAGGAGGAGGAGGAGAACGTCGACGACCGACTGCAGCCCGCGCGCGCGGAGACCCGACCGCCCCGGCCTGACCCGAGTCGCCCCGGCGCCCCAGACGACCGCGCTCGAGGGGGGAGGGGTCGTGGACGGAAGACCGGCGGGCGCTAGATTGAGCGGGGGTGGGCCGGGGGCGGATGAGAAGGGGAATGCGCAAGCGGAAAGGGGCGCAGGAGGAAACGGCGCCGGGGAAAAGGAAAATCCGCGGACAGATGGCGCCAGAGATACCACCGGAGAGAAGGGCGCTGGCGGGCGCGAGCCAGACGCGCGAGCAGAGGGCGCACCTGACGGAAGGAGGCGGGACGAGGATCGCAAAAGAACGCAAGGCAAGATGGTTCGCAAGGGGCTGGCGGCGGAGGGGCGGGGGAAGCGGGGGGGCGGGCGCGCGAGGAGGGGCGATGAGAGGGGGGGGGCTCGGGGCGAACGAGGAGGACAAGAGAAAGTGCGACGACGACGCGAGGGAACGGAACTAGACTAGGACAACGCGAACCAAGAACACAAACGCGCGACGATAGGGGGGGCGCCGACGAGGACGAGGAACAGATAGACGAGCAAGCCTGAAAACGCAAGGCTATTTGGGAAAGGCAAGAGAAGGGCCGAACCAGACACGAGATGAAGGAAGGGGGAGGGTCGCGGGGCCCCCGTCGGCACCCACGTTCGGACCTGCGCGGCCACGGGCCCCCCCCCGAAGGAGCCAGTTGGCCGTCGCGCTCGGACTTGGGCGCGGCGGGGGAGGCTCCCCAGATGCCCCTCGGAAGGCACTGCAAGGCTCCTACAGAGGCCCCCGATGCCACGTCATGGGCTGGGTTGGCGGCAACGGCCGTAAGGCCTTCACAATCATGATGAGCGTGCTCACCTTTTTCCGCGCATCCCCGGCTGTGCACTGTGCGCCCAGAGAAAAGAAGAGGGCTGGCAGCGGGGGAGGCGGGGCAGGGCCCCGGCCGACGTGGTCGTCAGACCACCAGCACTTCCGCCGCGGGGGCCCGAGAGCCTGTGGCAGCGCCGGCACCCCTGCCCGCACCAGCCCAGGGAACCGCGCTCGACTGCGCCGGCCGCGGCGTGGCGCACCCGCGGAATGCCGCGCAGCGCCTGTCCTGGAGCTCGCTGGACCGAACGGCCGCCGCTGGCTGTGCTGCCGAAGAGCCCAGCTGCAGCACCTGAGACGCGGCTGGGACGGGGATAAAACCTGGTAAGGACGAGTCGAGAATCTCCGAGATCAGAGCGGGTCTTCTCAGAGCGTTCCGGAACGCTCAAAGAGCGTTGCGGAACTCTCTGGAACGGATCTATCCTCGCCCTAGCCCCGTCCGAGCACCGTCCATCCCGTGGCGGCGGAGTACTCTGGCCAAGGCGACACGGCGCAGGAGTCCACACCAGGGTCCCCGTGCGCCACGAAACTTCGCCAGTAGCACCCCATGGCGCCCGAGAGGACCTTTTCGAAGGGCGTCCGCAGCTCGAAGCCGTCACCGAAAACGAAGGGAATTTCGGCACCGTGGAAGGCTCCCATCACGCTCGTGTCGCCAAAATTCTCTGTGTAGTTGGGCGTGAGCCGGAATTCGTACACGAACGAGCGGCCAGATGAATCGCGGGCGGCGGCTAGACTGTTCGTGGGGCACCGGATAGCCTTGTCCCCAGCCATCCGCATCGCAGCGTTGAAGAAGCCCGCGTCCTTTCCTGCGACCTTCTTCCCCGGCTGGTATGGCTTTCCTGGAACCCGCTTTGCAAGGTCCTGGCAGTCTGGCAGCGGGGACTGCAGAGACGCTGGCTCGTAGAGCGGCTCCACCACCGCTGGGCTCTGCCCTGGGCCTAGGAACGCCGAGACCCATGATCCGAACTCCTCGCGCGACGCGTTGCAGAGCAGCGGGGGCGTCTCGAACATGAACTCGGTGCCCTCGTCGAGATTATACCCAGCGAGCACGTCCACGCCCACCGCCACGTCGCCGCGCCGCACGCGTTCCTCCAGTGTCATGGGCAGGTCCACGCCGTCCAGCACTGGCCCCCAGCCGTCCGTCTCGAACGTGTCATCACGGGGCACCTGGAGGGTCAGAGAGCTGAGCTTCAGGGCGTCGGCGGAGAGCAGACAGCGAAGCCGGTCGGACTCCGCGACAGGACCACTCTTCATGTACGCAGTGAAGTTCCCGCCCCTGTTCTCCGTGTCGAACACTCGGCCAGGCGGTGCTGCGAAGAGAGTCAAATTCGCCTGCTGCGAGAAGCCGACACACAAGGGCCCGAGTTTCGTGCAGGCGCGCATGGCATCCTAGTGCGCTGCCAGACTGTGGCCACGTCCACTGCCGCAGGGTCATGTCCTGGGGACTCGGGGAGCAGTGGATCTGGATTGCTGCCCGCCCATGCGGGCTGGCAGATATCCAACAACATCAGGATCCCAGAGCACGGCCCCGAAGCGGTGGAGGTGCACAGTTCTGGCGGTGGGCCTCCGCGGGCATCAAGGGCTCCTCGTGATGGTACTGCGAGGAGCTGAACAGGAGGTCGCTCCGGAGGATATCGTAGCCATCGGTCTGGTTGCACCCTGGGCTCTGCGCCGCGGCCAGACTCGCGAGAGTGAAGCGAAAGTTGGTCGCCGCGTCGTCCCACTGCTTGACTTGTGTAAGACCTGGCGACTCCAGGATGGCTCGCCTGAACAGGGTCGTGGGCGCCTTGCCACCCGAGGTCAGGTGGTAAGCGACGCTGGTGCCGCCCGACGACTCGCCCATGATGGTGACGGCGCCGGGGTCTCCGCCAAAAGCCATGATGTTTTCCTGGACCCACTCGAGGGCGCGCCTCTGGTCCAGCAGCCCGTAATTGCCCGTGCCGCCGCCCGGGTGGCGCCCGCGCAGCTCCTCTGAGCATTACCCCCCCAGGTGGGGATGTAGGCCGTTCCCTGCGGGCTCCGAGGGGCGTATCCCCAACTGGGATGGTAACTTGGTGGGGGTCTCGAAGGGGATGAGGATGGGGATGGGGGTCGGTTAAACGATACTGATCCTCGGCCGCCAGGAAGCCCAGGGCGGCAACGCGGTCCGCCGCCGTGCCAGCGACACGCAGGGGCGTGTCAGAACCTGGGCCGGCACGGGAACGGAAAGAGCGCTTCAGGAACTCGCCCGTGACGGGCTCATGGCACCGTTCGCTCTTGGGGTTCTTCGCGGCAAGAGCTTGTTCACGTCAGCGCTCGCGTTTGGCGTTGAGTTGTTTACGTCACTGGTCGCGCTTGGGAGCCTTGGCGTTGAGAGCTGTCAACGTCACCGTTCGCTCTGGGGAAACTTGGCGTTGGGAGCTTTCTGCGCAACTGCTCGCTCTTGGGACACTTGGCGTTCAAAGCTGGTTACGTCACCGACTCGTGCTAAAATGGTTTTGCAGTCACCTGGTGCTCTTGGGTGCTCTTGGGAGCCTAGGTGTCAAAGCTGCGCGCGTTTTGGGGCCGTCCGAGGGGCCTCTGTTGGGTGTCTTAGGGCCCTCTTGGGCCGTTCGGGGGGTCTTCTTGGGCCGTCTTGGGGGGCCCGTCTTGGGGTCCTCTTGGGAGCCTCTTGGGGCCCTCTTGGGGCCCTCTTCGGCCCTCTTGCCGGCCTCCTACGGCACCCTGGGGGCTCTCTCGGGGGCCTCTTGGCCTCCTTTTGCGCCGTCTTGGTAGCCTTCTGGCCCGCCTCGGGGCCACCTCGGAAGCCCTGAGAGCCGTCTTCGGCCGATGTGGACCCGAAGGCATACAAAGAACAATGGAAAAAACAATGTAAAAAGATTGCGTTCTGCCTTCTCCGCCCGTTTTGGGGATCCTTTTGGGAGCCTGTTGGGCCGTCCTGGGGCCTTTTGGGCCGTCTTGGGAGGCCGAGGCCGTCTTAGGGCCCTCTTGGGCCCTCTTTGTAGCATCCTACGGCTCTTCGGCCCTCTGAGGAGACTCTCTGGCCCATCTTAGGGCTCTCTGCGGCCGTCACGAGGCCCTCTCGGGCAATCTTGGGGCCCTCTTGGAAGCCTCATGTGTCGTCTTGGGGGCAATCCCGGAAACCCTCAGAGCCGATCTGGGTCCGAACAAACGAGAACCAAAACCACATTTTTTATGAACAACAACAACGACAATCACAACAACAACAACAACAACAACAACAACAACAACAACAACAACAACAACCACAATTACTAGCACGTGGGGACACTCCGTTCTCACCAGTGCCAGGGTTTTCATACGACGCCCGCCAATACCCCCACTTTGTGGGGGGGCCGGTTCAAGCTCTACCACATTTCCAAACGACTCTTCGCCACCACCCACACCCAGCTTCCCGCCCTATGACGTTCGGACACTTCACTTCGTGGCCTGCGGACGACCGTGGCTACTACACTGGCGCATGGGTACAGTGACTTGTTGTGGTAACATTTTCTGGACGCTAGCTTAGTATACGCGACACGCGCGCATGTGTCCCGCATGGTATGTTTTGCAAGGGATTGTGGCCCCTGGCAGGCGCGCGAACGCCGTTGAAAGAGCTTGCGAAAGTAGCTCGCGCGAGCTCATGTAACATAAATGTTGAAAAACCATTGGTTTTTTAGGATTCGGACAGCGCGCGCGGGTAGAAATTTTGAAAATTCGTACAGATGTTTTTCGAGGACCTACGGTGCGATTCGTATGATTTTATGTTGCGCGGTGCTAAAATTCCTAAGAAACCCAATGGTTTTTGAAGATTTCGGCGTGCGCGCGCGAAGAAAAAACGAATGTGTCCCGCATGGTATTATTTGACAGGGATGATGGCCCTGGCAGGTGCGCAACCGTTGTTGGAGAAGTTCGAAGCACGTGAAAAAGTTGCTCGCAAAAGCCCGTTTGACAGAAATGTTTAAAAAGTGTTGGGTTTCCTACAAATCCGCAAGAGCGCGCGGGATGAAAGTTTGACACTTTTTTGTTGAAAAACCATTGGTTTTTTGATGTTTTTATGTTAAAATCGCTACGAACACTAAGGTTTTGGAAGGATTTCGTCTTGCGCGCGCGAATGTCCACTTTACCTTATTTGTTGCAAGGGATTCTTGAAGTTTGGTTATGTTAGAACAAGAAATGTCCACTTTGCCTTATTTTTTGCAAGGGAAAACCGCCCGTAACAAAACAACCGGATCCGGACCAACCCGTTTTGCCGGAGACTTCCTCACGAAAATGATGAAACATGGCTGCGGCCTAGGCGGCGCGGGGGCCGTGCACCAGGGGCCCCAACAATAATTATTCTTTAGAAGTAATAATGTTCAACAACAACAACAACAACAACAACAATCACTTTACCCGAACGCTCAGTGTTCTCACCAGTGCCAGGGTTTTCATGCGACGCCAGCCAATACCCCCACTTTGTGGGGGGGCAGTGCAAGCTCTACCAAATATCCACACGACTCTTCGCCACCACCCACACCCAGCTTCCCGCCCTATGACGTTCGGACACTTCACTTCGTGGCCTGCGGACGACCGTGGCTACTACACTGGCGTGGAGTACACACCCACAGAAGTTGTTAAGCCTACGTTCGTACACCCACAGAAGTTGTTAAGCCTTGTTAACCCACAGAAGTTGTTAAGCCTTCCACAGAACATCTGTTGCATATGATGCATATGGTACATGATACACATGATACACATGATACGTACTCACAAGATAGTTGATCACATCTTTAGGGCAAATTCCTGAGGGATGTGGGAATACACAAGAGAGAGAGGATATGGTTGTCCCGATGGTTGTCTCGATGGTTGTCCCGATGGTTGTCCTGATGGTTGTGGTTGTCCCGATCGTTGTCCCGATGATTGTCCCGATGGTTGTCCTGATGGTTGTGCTTGTCCCGATCGTTGTCCCGATGACTGTCCCGATGGTTGTCCCGATGGTTGTCCCGATGGTTGTCCCGATGGTTGTGAGCGATGCGGCCCCTGGCAGGCGCGCGAACCCCGTTGCAAGAGCGTGCGAAAGTAGCTCGCGCGAGCTCATGTAACATAAATGTTGGAAAACCATTGGTTTTTTTAGGATTCGGACAGCGCGCGCGGGTAGAAATTTTGAAAAGTCGTGCAGGTGTTTTTCGAGGACCTACGGTGCGATTCGTGTGATTTTATGATGCGCGGTGCTAAAATTCTTAAGAAGCCCAATGGTTTTTGGAGATTTCGGCGTGCGCGCGCGAAGAAAAAACGAATGTGTCCCGCATGGTATTATTTGACAGGGATGATGGCCCTGGCAGGTGCGCAACCGTTGTCGCAGAAGTTCGAAAAAGTTGCTCGCAAAAGCCCGTTTGACAGAAATGTTTAAAAAGTGTTGGGTTTCCTACGAATCCGCAAGAGCGCGCGGGATGAGATTTTGACAATTTTTTGTTGAAAAACCATTGGTTTTTTGATGTTTTTATGTTAAAATCGCTGCGAACACTAAGGTTTTGGAAGGATTTCGTCTTGCGCGCGCGAATGTCCACTTTACCTTATTTTTTGCAAGGGATTCTTGAAATTTGATTATATTAGAACAAGAAATGTCATTTTCTATTGTTTTTTGCAAGGGAAAGCGGATTACAACAAAACAACCGGATCCTGTACACACCCTCTTTTCTGAGGCTTCCTCACGAAAATGATGAAAATGTAGCTGCGGCCTAGGCGGCGCAGGGGGGGCGCGCACCAGGGGGCCCAACAATAATTATTCTTTAGAATAAATAATGTTCAACAACAGCAGCAGCAGCAGCAGCAGCAGCAGCAGCAGCAACAACAACAACAACAACAACAACAACAACAACAACAACAACAGCAAACACATCAAAAACAACAACAACAGCAGCAGCAACAACAAGAACAGCAACAACAACACAAAACAACAACAACAACAACAACAACAACAACAACAACAACAACAACAACAACAACAACAACAACAACAGCAACAACAGCAACAACAACAATAATAACAAGAATAAGAGAAATTTTAAGAGCGTTGGCCTTATATGCTCGAGTGTCCAATAACGCGTATTTCCCAAACCCTCGATACCCGCCCTCTTCGTCTTCGATCGACGCCCTTTTTGGGGGTATACCTTTCTTCCCTGCAGGCCGGGCCCCGGCAAGCGGCGGGGCGGCCGCGGACCGTCGGCCTGGCCAGCGGCAGCGCTGATCGGCGGGGCGGCCGCGGACCGTCGACCCGACCCCAAAAGGGACGGACAGGGGACCGACCACGACGACGACGACGACGACGACGACGACGACGTCGAAGACGACGGCGACGACGACGGCGACGACGAGCGAAAGCGAGAGCGAGAGAGAACGACAGCAGGGCCACGAAGGGCACGAAGTAGGCGACGAAGGGCGACAGCGGGGACACGAAGGGAATGCGTATGGGGCCACGCAGAGCGCGAACGAGCGGGGGCCGCGAAGGGCATACGTATACCGGGCCGCGGAGGGCAAGAACGGGGCCACTGAGGGCAGCAACGGGGCCACGAAGGGCGGGGGCCACGAAGGGCGACAACGGGGCCACGAAGGGCATGCGCATGGGGCCACGACGGGCGCGAACGATCGGGGGCCACGAAGGGCAGATCATGCGGGGCCACAGAAGGCAACGACGGGGCCACTGAAGGTAGCGACTGGGCCACGTAGGACAGTGACGGGGCCACAATCGGCGACAGCGGGGCCACGAGGGGCATGCACATGGGACCACAACGGGCGCGAACGAACGGGGCCACGAAGGGCATACGCATACTGGGCCGCGGAGCAAGGACGGGGCCACTGAGGGCAACAACGGGGCCACGAAGGGCAGCGAGGGGCCCACGAAGGGCGACAGCGGGGCCACGAAGGGCATCGGGCGGGAACGAGCGGGGGCCACGAAAGGCATACATACATGGGGCCACGAAGAGAGCAGCGAGGGGGCCACGAAGGGCAGCGAGGGGGCCGCGAAGGGCTGCAACGGGGCCACGAAAGGCTGCGAATCAAAGCGAGGGGGCCACGAAGGGCTGCAACGGGGCCACGAAGGGCAGCGAGATCCCGATTCTCAGGTAATCTTTGAAGGGGTCCTGAACGTGAGCGCGACTCCTGGGCGCCTGGGTGTCGGGAGCGCGGCGCTTGAGTAAATTGCGAGAATTTCCCACGGAAGGACGCTATTCTTCAGTAAATTGCAAGCAAGTCCCCAGCGATAACGCGACTCCAGAGCGCCGGGAGAGCGATTCAATAATAAATGGTAAGGAAGTCCCAGGAGAGAGCGCGATTCCTGAATCAAACGCAAGGAGGTCTCGGGCGGGAGCGAAGGTCCTGGCTAAATTGCGAGGAAGTCTCAGGCGGGAGCCGTTGTTGTTGTAACCCGGGGGCTAACGACACAGTTTGACGCTCTAGATTTTCCCTGATAAAAAAACAAGGTGCGATCCCTGGGAAGGGCACTTCAATCGAGAGAGCAATGTGCACCTGACGGGGGAGCTCAACAAGTCTGAAAAATGAAAGTTCAACAACAAGGAGTTCAACAACAACAATAATAACAGTAATACAAAAATAACAATAATAATACTAAGTTTAAGAGCGTTCGCCCTTATATGCTCGAGTGTCAAATTAACGCGTATTTCCCAAACCCTCGATACCCGCCCTCTTCGTCTTCGATCGACGCCCTTTTGGGGGTATTCCTTTCTTCCCTGCAGGCCGGGCCCCGGCAAGCGGCGGGGCGGCCGCGGACCGTCGGCCTGGCCAGCGGCAGCGCTGATCGGCGGGGCGGCCGCGGACCGTCGACCCGACCCCAAGAGGGACGGACAGGGGGGACGACGACGACGACGACGACGACGACGACGACGACGACGTCGAAGACGACGGCGACGACGACGACAACGGCGACGACGAGCGAAAGCGAGAGCGAGAGAGAACGACAGCAGGGCCACGAAGGGCACGAAGTAGGCGACGAAGGGCGACAGCGGGGACACGAAGGGAATGCGTATGGGGCCACGCAGAGCGCGAACGAGCGGGGGCCACGAAGTGCAGTTAATGCGGGGCCACAGAAGGCAACTATGGGGCCACTGAGAGTAGCAACTGGGCCACGTAGGACAGTGAGGGGGACACAAATGGCGACAGCAGGGCCACGAAGGGCATACACATGGGGCCACAACGGGCGCGACTCCTGGGTGCCTGGGTGTCGGGAGCGCGGCGCTTGAGTAAATTGCAAGAATTTCCAGCGCAAGGACGCTATTCTTCAGTAAATTGCAAGCAAGTCTCCAGCGAGAGCGCGACTCCAGAGCGCCGGGAGAGCGATTCCTGAATAAATTGTAAGGAAGTCCCAAGCGAGAGCGCGATTCCTGAATCAAACGCAAGGAAATCTCGGGCGGGAGCGGGGGTCCTGGCTAAATTGTAAGGAAGTCTTAGGCGGGAGCCGTTGTTGTGGTACCCCGGGGGCTGCAGGTCGCCTCAGATAAGCTCAGAACCCCAAGAAGCGCCTTGGAGACGTCCCAAGACGGCCCGAGAAACCCTCAAAACGATTCAATATTACCCAAATAAGGCTCCAAGCGGCTGAAAGACCCGATCAAACGGACCAAGATGGCCCAACTTAGCCTCTTCGGGAGGACCCGGTGAAACCATGGCACCCAAGGCGGCCCAGAGACCCCGATTGGCCCCCAACAAGGAAGGCCCCAAGAGAACCCTCAAGAACCCATCAAGAGGCCCAGAGAAGCATCCAAAGATGCCTTCAAGATGGACGAGGGGGGAGAAGGAAGAGGAGGTGGAGGTGGAGGTGAAAGGAAGAGGAGGACGAGGCTGCGGACGAGGCAGAGGTGAAAGGAAGAGGAGGTCGAGGCTGCTGACAAGAAGGGGGCATTCGAGACCCGCGCCAAGTCTGACATGGCGCTGACCTGGAGCGGGTCTTGAAAACGAACATCTTCCTCCTTCTGCGCCGCTGCGCTGGGCTAGCTGCGGAGTTTGCCGCAGGCAGCTGGATAGTTGAATGACGCGTACACCACGTCGGTCGCCCACGAGAGCCAGTTGGACTCGGCATCATTAGCGCCGCCGCACCGGAACTCTCCCGCGTGCAGGTACACCAGCACGGGGTACTTCCCAGGCGCCAGCGGCGCGGGCGCCAGGACGTTCAGCGTGAGGCAGTCCTCGCTCACCCGCGACGCGTTTTGGGTGTGCCAGCAGCCGCCCGTGTACTGCGGGCAGCTGGGGCCGAAGTCCGTCGCGGACAGCACTCCTGACCACCCCGCGTGCGGCTGCGGTGGCCGGAAGCGCAGGTCGCCCACGGGGGGCTCCTCAGGCGCGGCCGGACCGCCCCCTTCCGTGGCCACCCCCCCGCTGTGATGGCCACCTCGCCTCCTCCCAGGACGTGGGCAGACGCCCAGGCGCAGGGGTCTGGCGAACGAGCAGACAGGACCGACTTCTCAAAGGCCGACTCCTAATCCTCCTCCTCCTCCTCCTACTCCTCCTCATCCTCCTCATCCTCCGCCTCTTCCTCCTTCAATTATTCTCATCTGTCCACCCTAATCCTCATCCATCTTCGCCCCCTAGTCCTCCACCTCCTCCTCATCCTCCTCCGCCTCCTCACCCACCGCGTCATCGTCCTGTGCCCAAGATGTGTGCAGGTGGTCGGCTTGCTAAAAATAATTTGGGAGCCGCCCTGTGCTCCGCGTACGGCACCCCGCGGAACGCGTAGCGGCCACCGATCTCCACCCCGCTGACGGGCCCAGAGAGAGTGCGCACCTGCCAACGTTTTCCGCTGCTATCTTCACCAGCGCCCGCTGGGGAAGGAGAAGGTGATAGACGATAAGGAGGTGGAGGAGGCGGAGGAGGAGGAGGGGGAGAAGAAGCAGGAGGAGGAGGAGGAGGAGGAGGAGGGGAGGAGTAGAAAGGAGGGGGAAGGTAGATGAGGCGAGCGGAGTAGTGAGGAAGAGGAAGAGGGAAGCGAGGAGAGAACAGGAGGATTGGAGGATCACGACGACGACTCAGGGGAGAAGGTGAACAATGAAGATGAGGATCATGATGCGCATGCATGGGGAGGAGAGACGAGGTGGAGGAGGGAGGAAAAAGGGAGGAGGAAAGAGGGAGGAGAAAGGTGTCAGAAGAAGGAAAGTGGAAAGAGGGAAGAGCGAGGAGGGAGAAGTGAAGACGGCATCAAGACAGCCCACCGGGGCACCCAGACGGCCCGGGACGGCTCCAAAAGAGCCCAACTCTGGCCCACGAAGGCCTCTGGAGGGAAGCAAGACTGACTACCTACTAGACCACCCCAACCCAACCGAAAGACCCGAATTTCGGGTTGGGGAGGTATGGGCTCCATATGTGTGTTTTTGATGTTCCCCGACCCCCCCTCCACTGGAAATGGAGGGCAAATTGAAGCCTTCGGGTTGGATTGGGGTGGTTTGGTGGGTGGTGAAAGACGGCCTCTGATGGCCCCTCGGCCCCTCCGCGGCCCAGGACGGCCCCAAGACAGCCCCACGACGGCCACAAGAGACACCCTAGACCCTAAGAAGGCCCCAAGACGGCCCAAGGGGGCACCCCCAAGACTGCCCCACAGGAGCCCAGGACTTCCACAAGACGGCCCAAATGAGCTCCATGAGAGCCCACCAAGGAGAAAGGCGAAAAGTGCCATATGTGACGGCCTCACGTGCTCGAAGCGTCGCCACCCACTGGGCTGAGCTGGCTCGGTGCGGGGACTTGCCGCAGCTACCTGGATCCGACACCGTGCCGCGAGGGGCGAAGTGGAGTTTTTCTCCAGGTCCTCGTGTGTCCTCTGTTCTCTGTATTCAGGACTCTGAAACTATACGTAATGTTCTCAAAGCTGGGGCCCAAAATTCTCGAATTTCCCGCGCGTGCGTGGGCTGCCCCGCGTGACCTTTCCAGAGGCAGAGGGCCCCAAGACAGACCAAGAAGGCCCCAGAAAGCACCCAAGAGGGTCCAAGAGGCCTCCAAGACAGCGCAAGAGCGCTCCAAGACGCCCTAGCTGACCCCAAGACGGCCCAAGAGGCCCCAAAGAAGCCCCAAGAGCGCTCCAAGAGGACTCCCAAGAGAACCCATTGGTATTCCTTCTGCTTTTCGTTGTGTTTCGGGTTTTCGCGTTTTCGGGTTTCCGACGCTCAGATGGCCCCAGAAACCCCCAGGACCGCCGCAAAATGGTCCAAGAGGCCCCCACGAGGGCCCCAAAACGGCCCAATTGGCGCCCAAGATCGCCCAAGAGGGCCCCAAGACGGCCCCAAGAGGGGCCCAAGAAGGGGAACACGAACCAACAATTCGACCCTTCCGCCACAAGAGATCCCCAGGAGGTCCCAAGAGGCCCCCGCGAGAACCCAAGATGCACCCTAGAGGGAAGCCCCACGATGCCCCCACCAGACCCAAAAAGAGGCCCCAAGAGGCCCCAAGCCTCAAAACTGCCTCCAAGAGGCCCCCGAGAGTCTCCCACGATATCCAGACGAACATCCAAAAGGCTTCTAATCCACAACCTAGGCACGGTGGCGGGATGGGCCGAAGGCCACTAGAAAATTACTCGACGCGGATATCTACATGTGTGCATCGAGTTTCCTGGCACTTTTCGCCAGGAGCGTTCGGGTACGAGAGAGTCTGGGTATGAGCGGGCTGGGATTGAGAGTCTGCGTGGGGGTGAACCTGAGTGCGAGCGAGTCTGAGTGAGCGCGGGTGAGTCTTAGTGTGAGTGAGTCTGTGCGTATGGATATGGGTATGCCTAAGCTTGGTGTAGACGTATCTGAGCCCTGGTGGTCTGCGCATGAGTGCGAGTGGCTCTGGGCATGGCTAACCCGAGGAGGAACAGGCGCGAGGAGAGCGGAGATAAGGCGGCAAAGAGACAGCTCTTCCATTATCCTCTTGCGTCCTCCTTCGTCCTAACCCGCCCTTCCTTCTCCCACCCCCACCTGCGTCCTCCCCCTCTTTCTCCTCCGTCCCCCCTCTTCCCCTCTGTGGCAAATGCCCCCCCGTCGCGGCTCCTCCATGGGGGGCCCACATTTTTGAATATGCGTGGCGAGAGCGAACCACTTCCGCTAGAGCTAGGCGGGCCACGCGCAGTTTTAATTAGGGAGACAAGGCACAGGATGGCGGGGCCCCAGGCGGCCGGAGCGGGCGGGGCCCGGGGTGCAGGCGGTGCCGAGTGGATGTGCAGGAAAAAGTGCGCCGCGGACAAGGGACGGGGGGCGAAGACCCGGAACGCGAAGGAGATGGCGCGGCCGTCAACGGCACATCGCGAACACCAGCCTCAAGCACTGCAGAGGAGGACGCGCCACTTGACCAGGTCGACGCCCAGGAGGAAGAAGAGCACCACGAAGGCGATGAGCAACGTTGTGCCACCGGATGAGGCGGAGGAGGCCCGGGGTGGTAGTCCAATCCACGACCAGGTAGCAGCGTAGCTTGAGGTGCGGCCTCAACGAAGGGGCATGGGGGGCCCACATGCATGGCACGATTTGTTTTAAATCGCGGCGACCATGAGGCTCTCAAACGAGAGAGGCCTGGGCCACCAAATAGGCAAACGGCCTGAGACATCCTCACAGTGGCCGCGAACAGGGAAGTGAAATCGGGACATCCCCACCGGTTGCTTTGAAAGCAGAGCATGCTGGGCACCCAAACGCGCAGTCCGCTGGAGACAACCCCTCAATCTGCGCGAGAACGGGTCCGAAAGAACACCCTAGCGGCTCCCCCCTGAGAGTGCTGGAACGCGCGCCTCGTTTGAGACATACTCTGACTTTGCTTTGCACGCAGACGAGCATGGCCACCAAAACAAGCAAACCGCCCGAAACATCCTCGCAAGCTGAGCCCATGCCGTTGTTGAAACCAGCGCCTCACCTGAAACATCCTCAGAATCTGCTCTGAACGCAGACGAGTCTGGCCACCAAAAAAGGCAGAACGCTCGAGACATCCTCGCAATATGGGCTTTTTGGGGTGCAAAAGACAGCACCTCGCCCGAGACATCCTCAAACTCTGCTCCGAAAGCGGAAGATGTTGGGCAAGCAGACAAGCAAACCGCTGGAGACAGCTCCGCAATCTGTGCGCGAACGGGCCCGTGCAATACCCCCCGGCGCCCCCCTTGGGGGTGCGAAAATCATCGAAAACAGCGTTTCGCCGGAGACATCCTTGAAATGTGCTCCGAAAACGGAAGATGGTGGGCACGCAAACAAGCACACCGCCAGAAAAATCTCCGCAAGCTGGGCGAGAACGGGCCCGTGCAAAACCCTATGTCGGCCCCCCCTCGGGGGTGCTGAAACCAGCGCCTCGCCCGAGACATTCCCAAAACCTGCGTCGTCATCATCATCATCATCATCATCATCATCACCACCACCACCACCACCACCACCACCACCATCTTTATCATCATCAGCATCATCATCATCATCATCATCATCATCAGCACCATCATCGGCAACCAGCAGCAGCATCACCATCATCATCAGCAGCAGCATCATCATCAGCATCACCCACATCACCATCATTTCACCATCATCCTCATCAACGACATTATCATCGTCATGATCACCATCCCCATCAGCACCATCAGCCATCAGCATCACCGTTATCACTATCGACACCATCATGACCATCATAGAGTTCGGATCGTGACCGTGAGTGTGAGTCTGAGCGGCATTGAGGAGTGACGAGGGAAGGACGCGGAGGACGAGGAGGAGGAGAAGGAGGTGGGTGCATGGGCCCCCGGCGCGGTGAAAACGATTCACTGCGTGGAGCTCCGCATATGTGCATAGATTAGCATGGACCTGTTCGCCGTGAGCGTCTAGGCGCATGAATTTTCGAAGAGTCACGGGCTTGAGTTTTGACGGTCTGGGAGTGAATCTAATTGTGAACTAGTTGAGGTGTGAATGAGTCTCGGTAGTACGACCGCGTCTCTGAGAATGAACCTGGGGGCCTCCTGGGGCCTCCTGAAACCTCCTGGGGCTTCCTGGAGCCTTCTGGGGCCTCGTGTGGCCTCCTGGAGCCTCCTGGAGCCTCCTGGAGCCTCCTGGGGCATCCTGGGGAGGATTCGTGCCCCAGGAGAGGCCCAATCTATAGGAACAGGCGTACATAAAACACTACGGATTGGAGCCACAAGAGGAGGGCAAGATGTAGGAAAACAAATAAAACACCAAGGACTCGTGCCCCAGGGGAGGCTTAATCTATAGGAACATACATAAGACACTTAGGATTGGACACGCAAGCGAAGGACAATCTATAGAAAGCATGCGTACAATACAACAGATTCGTGCTCCAGGGGAGGCCCAATCTATAGGAGCATACGTACAACACATGGGATTGGAGCCACTCCTGTGGCCGTCTGAGGCCTTCTGCTCCTGGGGCATCTTGAGGCCTCCTGGTGCCTTCTGGGGCCTCCTGGTGCCTCCTGGCGCTTCCTGTGGCCTCCTGGGGCCTCCTGTGGCTTCCTGTGGCCTCCTGGAGCATCCTGGAGCCTCCGGAGGCCTTCCAGACCTTCCTGGGGCCATCTGGAGCCTGTTGGGGCATCCTGTGGCCTCTTGAGTCTTCCTGTAACCTCATGATGCCTCCTGGGACCTCCTGTTGCCTCCTGGGGCCTCCTGGAGCCTGCTGGAGCCTCTCGTGGCATCCTGGGGAAGATCCGTGCCCACGAGTCTAGCCACCAAAACAAGCAAACCGATCGAGACATCCTCAAACTCTGGTCCCACTTGGGGGCGAAAATGAGCGCATTGCTCGAGACACCCTCCAAAATCTGCTCCGAAAGCGGAGGATGTTGGGGCCCGAAACAAGCAAACCACTCGAGATATCCCCGCCATTTTGGCGCGAACGGAAGGGTGCAATGCCCGCTGGCGGCTCTCCATTGGGGGTTCTGAAACCTGCGCGCCCCGCTCGAGACACCCTCAGAACTTGCTCCGCCAGCATCATCATCATCATCATCATCATCATCATCATCATCATCATCATCATCATCATCATCATCATCATCATCATCATCATCCTCATCATCATCATCATCATCATCATCATCATCATCATCATCATCATCACCACCACCACCACCACCATCATCATCATCATCATCATCATCATCATCATCATCAGCATCAGCATCAGCATCATCATCATCATCATCATCATCAGCATCATCATCATCATTATTATCAGCAGCAGCAGCATCAGCATCAGCATCAGCATCATCATCAGCATCATCATCAGCATCACAGTCATAAACATCATCATCAGAACCATCATCATCGTCATTATCATCATCATCATCCTCATCATCATGACCATCATCATCATCATCATCATCATCACCACCATCATCATCATCATCATCATCGTCATCATCATTTTTCATAATCATCATCATCATCATCATCATCATCGTCATGAGCATCATCATGAGCATCATCAACCGCAGCATCATCATCAGCAGCACCATAAGTTTCATCATCAGCATCATCGACATAACCAGCATCATCAGCATCAACAACATTATCATCACCATCACCATCATCACATTCATCAATATCATCATAACATACCATACATCGCATGATATAATATAACAACACACAACGCAACATAACAAGAACGTATAATGCCATACCATAACAAGTCACAATTTTGCAAACAAACCATACCATTAAATAGAATACCAGACCATGCCATACCATAACATAACATGGCATAGAATTACGCACCACAACTAACATAACATGATATCACATGGTATAGCACTGCATGACATTAAAATGACATGCAATAGCATATAAAGAGGTGGAGGAAAAGGGAGGTGCGGAGTCTTCGCGGCCGGTAATCAGACTAACCCAATATTTCTGCTATTGGGAATAATAGTTAATTGTTGCGCAGAACTCTCCATATGTGCATATGCTTGCATGGGCCTGTCCGCCGTGAATGTCTAAACGCAAGGTTTGTGCGAATATAAACGAGCTTGAGTACTGACAGACTGGGAGTGAATCGAACTGCGAATGAGCTGGAATGTGAACGAATCTCAATAGTGAGAGGCGATGCGCACGGGTCTGAGTATGTCTAAGCGCAGGATGGGAGTATCTGCGCGCCAATGGCCTGAGCATGACTGGACGTGACTGAATCGAAATGGATACGCCATCCTTCCCTCGATGGCGAGACACGGAAAAAGGCTGCTCATGCAAACGCCATGCAAAACCATTGCGTGTCGCTGGCTGGCCCTGATGGTCTTACGCAGTTGCTGGACCATGGTACAGCCAGCCACGCCGCGGAGAAGAGAGGCCCGATCTGTAGGTACAGACGCGTACTCCGCTGCTCCGCCGTGCCTCCCAGGAGCCCACGGAAGTGGCAACGATTGCACAATTCGAAAGCACCCAGGGGAATGCGAGGCCCAGTCTGTGTCCGCGTACTCCTCTACTTCGCCCAGCCTCCCAGAAGTCCACGAAAATGAACATTGTTGCACAATTCGCAGCCACCCAGGGAGTTTCGAGTCTCGCTTGGATGCGCGAACCCCGCCACTCCTTCGTGCCTCCCAAGAGCCGACGAAAGTGGAGACGGTTGCACAGTTCGCAGCCACCCAGATAGCTGCGAGGCCCCGTCTTGATGCGCGTACCCCGCCACTTCGCCGTTTCTCCCAGCCTGGCGACGTTTGCACAATTCGCAGCCACCCAAATAGCTGCGAAGTCTCGTCTGGATCCGCGTACTCCGCTCCTCCGCCGTGCCTCCCAGGAGCCCGCGAAGAAGTAGGAGGGAGGAAGAGGTAGAAGGCAGTAAGAAGTAAATAAAAGACAGACGGGAGGAGATAGAAGGACCGAAGGAAGAGGGGGTAGGAGAAGTCGCGACCACAGAGTTTTATTCAAAAAGAGAACCCAACGCATGAGGGGTTGGAACAAAAAAAACATGTCGTATTGTGTGATCGTTTTCAGTTCAATTGTTTTCGATCGCCAGAACCCGCCGCGGACAGGCCGCGGGCTTCCCGGCCAGTTCCGCACGAAAGTAAGACCGGTGTCAGAGCGGTTTGATCTCCCATCTTCCGCTCTGCATACGGCGGAACTCAACTTCAGCCCCCGCCCTATCCATACATCTCAAGACGAAAAAACAGGCAGGAATAGCATACCTATATATAGTATATAGATGTATTCACGTACATGTACATGTCTATGTATGTGTGCCTGTACGTGTGTATGTATGTATGGATGTATGCATGGATGGATATAAGTAAGAAAGTATGTAGAAATGTAGGTATGTGAGTATGTCGGTATGTATGTATGTATGTATGTTTGTATGTATACAAGTATGCATGTATGGTGTATGTATGGATGTATGTATGCATGGATGGATTGATGTATGGATGTATGTATGTGTGTTTGCAGGTATGTACATATGTATGTGTGTGTTTGTATGTATGTACGTACGTACGTACGTATGTATGGATGTATGTATGTGTGTATGGCTGTATGGATGTATGGATGGATGGATGGATGTGTGTATGTATGTGTGCATGCATGTGTGTGTATGTATGGACTGATTGATGTATGGTTGTACGTATGTATGCATGCATGCGTGTGTGCGTGTATGTATGTGTGTCTTTGCGTGCATACACGCTGACAAACTCATGTTTCAAGTATGCGTTTGCAGCCCGTCGAGAGCCTAGAAGATAAAACGCCAAACGTCCAGGGCGCCTGTAAGGTTAACCAAGAGAGCGTGCAGAACTATCGAGCGCACACATGTTTAAAACGTCTATGGTAGATGGTAGAGACACATGAGAGACCTCGAACACATTCACAGCAACTCCCAGGCGGGGGTTGCTCGAAAGTTACATATTGGATTCTTCACGCGGATCCCCAGAGGCCTGGCCCATTCCTGTCATTTTGTTGACGGTCCTGGGATCAGGCAAACACCCCCAGACATAGGTCGGGCACGTCCCCCTACAGGCGGATTCTGGACGAAGAAAAATAGAAATCGTCCGCTATCTTTTTGACTGTTTTTGACTATTCCTCCTGTAGAACGACATGCCCGACTTGACCCCAGACGGAGGCCCCAAAACGACGAAAAACAAAAAGAGCAACAACAAAAAGAGGAACCACAAAACAACAGCAAAAGGGCAGCAACCATACTAAGAGCAGCAACAACAACGAGAAAAAAAGAGCAACAGCAACAAAACAAAGCAAAGAAACAAAAAGAGCAACAAGACAAAAAAAAAAAAAAAAAAAAAAAAAAAAAAAAAAAAAACGTCCGCCCGCCATCTCCTTCACGACGCGGAGGCGCCGGGGCACCAGGCCGCGGCATAGGCTGGAGAGAAGAGCGTCAGGGGGACGAACAGTGGCATAAACAAAAGATCAGGTCGGGCCTGTCCCCCTGCAGGGGAGTTCGGGACGAGGAGTAAGACATAGTCAGAACATATTCCAGCCAGTGCTGCCTCCAGACAGTTAGGAGCACAGGAGGAGGACGACAGGAGGATGGGAGGGGGACGAAAGGAAGACGGGAGCAGGTCGCGCCTGGCCCCCTACAGGGGAATCTGGGACGAGAAACAAGAGATTGTCAAAACCGATTCCACAATGGTCGAAAAGCAATCAATGAAATCGTACCCAGACTACGCTTTTCCTATTTTTGAATACTCCTCCTGTAGAGGGACGTGCCCGACTTAAACATCGAAACTCGGAGGCCCGCGCGGATTTCTCGGATCGGCGCTCGAGCGCGCCAGGGGCGGCGCCAGAGGCGCCGCCAGAGGGGTCCAGCGCGGATCCGAGAAAGCCGCGCGGACCTCCGAGTTTTGATGTTCAAGTCGGGCATGTCCCTCTACAGGAGGGATATTCAAAAATAGTACAAGAAAGTAAAAGAACAGTCTGGGCACGACTTTTTTGATTATCACGTCTCGACCCTTCTGGGTCTTGCTTGACTGTGCACTCTTTCTCGTCACAAACTCCCCTGCAGGGGGACAGGCCCGACCTGATTTTATGTCTGTGTCATTCCTCTCGGGCGTTGGCTGAACTGGGTTTAGTGGGACCTGGTTTACTGATCTGTACCGGGGGCGCCCCCCCGTCCCACCTCCGCTAACCAGAACTGCCGTCACCCGAAAAAACACCAGCTGCGGCAGACCTGGCTTAGTGATTCTGGCCGATTCGAAGGCTCCGGGGCCCTACCACTAACCAGGTCCCCTTACCCGGGGTCTTGGCCATACCCGATCCTCGTCCCCCTAGAAACGGACCAGGCCGCGGGGGTGGGCGGGCAGGGCCCACGCCATGATATCATGGTCCACGCCAAGATATCCACCCCCCCCTCGTCATCACCCCCCTCTTTGCCGCCCCCGATAGAAACGTCCCTGGTCACGACGAGGACGCATACGCTCGACGACGACGACGAAGACGACGACGACGATGACGACGATGCCGACGACGATGACGACGATGTCCTGACACGGGCCAGGCCGCGGGGGTGGGCGGGCAGGGCCAGGCCAGGACCGGGCCCCCTCGCGCGCCGTCGGCGGCGCCGGCGAGGACCACGCCGGCGCGAGCACAGCCGCGAGCAGGGCGGCGAGCAGGGCGCACGGCGGCGCCTCGGCGGCCATGGCCCCGTCGGCCCGCACGGGCTGCCGGCGCATTGGCGCCGCAGGCCGACGCTCGCGGAGCACGAGACGGGCAGAGGGATTTCGCCACGCGATGCGAAGCTCCACCCTCCCCACCGAATCCCCCTCCTCTCCCTCCTCTAGATCCTCCTTCTCCTACTCCCCCTCGGATTCGCATCGCGTGAAGGATCCAAGTTGCCGACGAAAGGAGGAAGATGGGGGAACACGAAAACTCGCAGGTCCCCCCCTTGGCGGCGCCTCTGGCGCCGCCCCTGGCGCGCTCCGCGCGCCGAGGAGGGGGTTCCAGCGCCGATCCGAGGAATCCGCGCGGACCGAGTATGTATGTTTATGTTATTGCTCGTTCCCCTACTCTCGGAGCACGAAAGGAGGAGGAGGACCTTATGAAAAGGAGGAGGGTAAGGACGACGACAAGGGCAGCGGAGGGGAGCGGATCCTACTCGTTTGACGGATCAGGCGTCATGCGAGAAGGCTCGCCCCAGAGCTCAAAGCAAGAGTAGCACACGCTGTGAGATATCACCGTGCTGACTCTCCCTCTCGTCCAAGGCCAAAGCAGACATACCGTTCTCCGTCAATGGTGCTTAAAACGTTGCACTGAAGCAAAGCTGATAGGCTGATCAAATCCGAGTCCGCGCGCAACGATCCCCACGGCGCTTAGGGCCTGCAGAAGCGAATCAGCGCGGTGGCGGCAGCGTCCAAGCGTGGGACACGGAAGACCGAGGCGCCGATCCGAAACGAACACTCAGCACAAACAGAGTTTAGCAGATCGCTGCCCAAGCAGTATGTCCAGACAGCGCCCGCCACCAAGCCTATGTCTTTTAATATTTCTGAGCGCCAGCGTCGCGCCTGCGGGGGCGAGGCGCACATAGTACAAGGGTGACTAGATGGTGCCGAAATCGGTCTTGCCTGCGTACGCAGTGCTCGCGCTTCTATGGGCTTCTCGATGTCGCTAATGCGCTCGACGGCACGTTCACCCCTGGGACCGTCCGCTACGGATGGGGGAACTGCACCGCGGCGGCGTGCACAGCGCGAGGCCCACCCGCTCCCTCTACGCACGAAGGCCGGGGACACCCGCAGGACCACGCGCGCTGCGACCAGCACATGTCCCCCTGCAGAAACGCCAAGCCGCAGGGCCCACGGCACAGCGCACCTCGCAGGGCCATGCATCATCCAACGATTCGCGCCCCGCGCGAAGCAAGGAGCCTCCCCCTCCCCCGCCTCCCACGCCCCCGTGCCTGGGCAAGTGCTTGCAGCCTTCCCTGTTCTTCCACGTAGTGCTTGAAGGATTTTGCAGCAGGTGCGCCACATCACCTGCCTGCATCAACGAAAGCAGGGAGAACTTTTGCGATGTCAGCCGCACGTCGCCCATGGAGGAAGTGTCAGTTTTGCCAAACGTGCGAACACAATGACAAGCTGCTCCTCGCAGACTGTCGTTGCAGCAAGTGTTCCAAGCAGGTGCGGCTATAAGCCTCGCACTCGCTCCAAGTCTGCCGAACGAGGTGTGTATTTCGAGGATGAGGTGGCGTCGGGAGCCACTACCCGCGCAGCGGGAAGAAGGGCAGCCTCAAGAGGAACCAGGACATCTCGGCGCTGCTCGAACAGGCGCTGAAGGCCACCCAGGTCACTGAGCTGCAGCAGGTGTTGCAGCAGCAGTCACGGCGGTTGGCTAGCCAGAACACGAGCGCCAAGAACAGCGACACCGTCGACGCCGTCAAACGCGCAGACAGTGCCTGAAGGCCGCCAGGAACGGACACCAACAGTTGGTGGACCAGGTGGTGAGGTTGCGGCAGCAGCTCAGCACCGCAGAGAGCAAGGAGAGTGAGGCTGCCGTCGAGCTCGCCCGCGAAGCGGCGGCGAAGACGGCGGCCACGACGCCGCCCACGTAGCGCGCATCACAGTACCCCTCGCCACAGAGCGTGCACGCGCGCACGTTGATGTGGAACACTCTGTCAATGGAGTGGATCCACTCGCAGAAGTTACTGCACACGAAACCCATCCTCGTGCCGAAAGGCGCCTGGGTCGTGCGGCAGATCGTTCACACCCAGCTTGTCACCTCCCAGCGGGAACCACACACCCCTCGCACCACGAAGCTTGCACCACGTATATTCTCTTTTCTAAAAGACTAATACATTCTACCCCCCCCCGGACTTATCGGGTCCCCCGCGCGTGCTGCAAATCACATATGATTCTGACCACATGTCCATCCTAAATATGAATTCATACCATCCCAGCCAAGCCGGGTTCCCCCCCCTGCGGTTCCCTGTCAAATAACACTATGCGGGAACCTTTTTCTTTCTAACATAACACTTGTTCACGAATCCCTTGCAAAAAATGGGACGAAGTGCACACGCGCGCGTCGTCGCGCGCGCATGCCGAAATCCTTCAAAAACCTTCGGTGCCGGAAAGATTTCGCAATCGAGTTTCCGAAGAACTTACAAAAACACATGGCTTCGCAACACTGGTTTGCTAAAATTATCCCGGCAAAGCAACCTAACAGCGATGTGTAGGAGCATGTCTGGAAGCATTCCCCTGAAGATTCAGATGAGAATCCAGTTGTAGAATTCTGTTGTTCTCGCAGTCGTAGTCGCATTCGCGATGACAGTCGCAGCGGCAACGGCAGTCGCAGTCACAGCCTCAGCCTCAGCCTGCCTCAGCCTCAGCCTCAGCCTGCCTCAGCCTCAGCCTGCCTCAGCCTCAGCCTCAGCCTGCTTCAGCCTCAGCCTCAGTCTGCCTTCAGCCTCGGCCTCAGCCTCAGCCTGCCTCAGCCTCAGCCTGCATCAGCCTCAGCCTCAGCCTCAGCCTCAGCCTGCCTCAGCATCAGCCTGCCTCAGCCTCAGCCTCAGCCTCAGCCTCAGCCTCAGCCTCAGCCTCTCAGCCTCAGCCTCGGCCTCAGTCTGCCTTCAGCCTCGGCCTCAGCCTCAGCCTGCCTCAGCCTCAGCCTGCCTCGGCCGCAGCATCAGCCTGCCTCAGCATTCAAAATGTGGCCCAGGAATGGAGTTCTGGGAACTGGAAGAACACGAAGTGGCCTACAGTTGGCTCCGGGCATTCAAAATCATGCCCAGGAATGGAGTTCTGGGAACTCGAAGAGCACGAAGTGGCCTACAGTTGGCTCCGGGCATTCAAAATGTGGCCCGGGAATGGAGTTCTGGGAACTCGAAGAGCACGAAGTGGCCTACAGTTGGCTCCGGGCATTCAAAATGTGGCCCGGGAATGGAGTTCTGGGAAGTCGAAGAGCACGAAGTGGCCTACAGTTGGCTCCGGGCATCAAAATGTGGCCCGGGAATGGAGTTCTGGGAAGTCGAAGAGCACGAAGTGGCCTACAGTTGGCTCCAGGCATTCAGAATGTGGCCCGGGAATGGAGTTCTGGGAGGTCGAAGAGCACGAAGTGTGTGACTGTTTGCGAAAAACGCATTCGGACACGAGTTCGGACACAGCTCCCCGGGTCCCGCCCCGACCCCCCTGTGGAGTCATCTGCTGCTCTCTTTTGACACCACTAGAAACCTATCAGCAAAAGCTGATAGGTAAAAACTTCCGCGCGAGCTCTTGCGAAATCTTAAGAAAACCATAGGTTTTTCAAGATTATTACAAAATGCTACCAAACGGGCTTCGCGCGCACGCATGTCGAAATCTGTCGAACGCCCTTGCGCGTGTGCCGTCGCGAGAATCCTCTGCAAAAAATGGGACGAAGTGCAGACGCGCGCGTCGTCGCAGACGTATGCCGAAAACCTTCGAAACCCATCGGTTTCGGAAGGATTTCAAAATCGTGCGTCCAAAAAAACCTACAAGAACCCAAGGTTTCGCAACACGGATTTCAACAAAAGCGTGCGCGCGCGCTCTTGCGTCGTCGTCGTCGCAGTCCTCCCTCCTCCCGCGTCGTCGTCGTCGTCGCCTACGTCGTCCTCTGTCTTTTCTCCTGTTTGTCGTCGTCGTCCTCTTTGGCGTCGTGGTCGTTTCCATCGTCGTTGTCGCCGTGGTCGTCCTTCCTCCTCCTCCCACGTCGTCGTCGTCGTCGTCCGTCGTCGGCGTCTCATCGTCGTCCCTCCTATGTCGTCGCCGTCGTCGTCGTCGTTGTCGTCGTCGTCTTCCCTCCTCCCTCGTCGTTGTCGTCGTCGGCGTCGCCGTCCTTCCTCCTTCGTCGTCGTTCGCGTCGTCACCGTCCTCCCTCCTCCTTCGTCGTTGTCGTCGTTGTCGCCGTCGTCGTCCTTCCTCCTTCCTCGTCGTCGCCTTCGTTGGCGTCGTCGTCGTCGTCTTCGTCGTCGTCGGCGTCGGCGTCGTTGTCGTCGTCGAAGTCGTCGGAGACGTCGTCGGTGTCGTCCTAGTCGTTGTCGTCGGTGTCGTCGTAGTCGGTCTTAACAGGTTTTGCAAACCAAGTTGCGGGTGGGTGGGTGGGATGTTTGCGCGAGCAGTGGAGAAGACAACTTCAAGTTCAACAAATTATTTGAACCACGTAGATCGCACCAAATATAGCTTCCGCCACACAATTTGCTCCGCACAGCTGAACACATCCGCCATACTTGAGAAATTGGGTTGGTTTTCAGGATGTTCCCCACGTTGCGGCCCCGTACCTCCTCTTTCGCGCCTCTCGGGCGCCCCGCGCTTGAGGGGTATGCCGACGATGCTCCACGTTGCCGCCCGTGCCGCCTCGTGGTCGGCTCCGCTGTTTTGGAGGGGGAATAGACCGAGGTTGCGCCACGTTGCCGCCAGTGCTGCCTCGCGGGCGCCTCGCAGGCGCCCCGCGCTTGAGGGGGGTGCCGAGGTTGCGCCACATTGCCACCAGTGCCGCCTCGCGGGCGTCTCGTGGGCGCACCGTGTTCTGAGCATACACGCAGCTTACACCAACATAGCGTACACCACATAGCGTGCACAGCATAGCTCACATCGCATAGCTTACACCCCGCGGCTTGCACCTCTGGTTGGCACCTCATCTTACACGGCACAGCGGACACCGCTTAGTTTACAGCGCATAGTGCTCACCTCCACCGTTCACGCTACACAGCATACACTACATTTAAGGGGCCCAGGGACACACAAATAAATACACACACACATCCCAGGAACCCCAATAGTTTCCAATATCTCATGGGTGTTTGTCTTCCCCCCACTTCCCATATTTTCCTTTATTTGCTTCCCCTCCTGATGCATAATGTGTTCCATACAGCTTGCACCGCATAGCTTACACCGCACAGCGCCCACCTCTGCGGTGCAAGAACTCCCCCCTGAGAGGGGGAGGGCGGCGAAGCGACCACGACGAGGAACAGAAAGAATACAAGGAGCAACAGCTGCAGTGGGAGAGCGACGACAACGAAGGCGATGGCAAGGACACAATCAGCGACACCAAGACAACGACTACGACGAAGACGAGGACTAGAAGGACGACGACAATGGACTGGAAACATTCGCGCACGCTCCGCGCGCGAACTGTCTCTGGGCAAGAATGGGAGAGCGGGAATGAGAGAGGGGGATCTCATGGGGGAAGGGGGGATGAGATGAAGGAGAGAGAGGAAGAAGGCGAAGGGGGAGTGGCGAGGGCCCGCAGAACAGCTGCCTTGCCTGGGCGCCGCGCCCGGTGCTTGCAACGAGTGGCGCTGGCCAGCAGGCACACGCCACCGCAGGAGCTGGGAAGTGGATGCCCAGACGCGGCGCGCGCGCGCGAAGGGAGGCGGGGCGAGGGAGCGCGGGGGGGGGGGGGGGGCGCGCCCAGGGCGAGAGAGCGCGGGGGGGGGGGGGCGCAAAGGAACTACTCGCAAGTGCCTGGATCCGCCGCGATGAATGCACGATCCATTACAGTGGGGCAAACGCGTGTGTGTTTTTTTCCGGACGTCTGCGAGCAGACACTCTGCGAGTGGTGGAACGCGCTCGGTGATGGGCGGAAACCCGGAGCCCGGGGAGGAGGGGAAGGAACGGATCTTTTGCTTCGCGGCCATAACGGGCGTCATTTGGGGGAAAAGCGGGGGGGGATCGGACGGGGCAGAACGCAGCGCCCCCCCCTAGACTGTGGTGCTGGACGCACTGCGGCAGTGCCGGGGACGAACGCACTGAGGGGGGAGCGTTACGCTATGGGAGGGGGAGGCGGGGGGACGGTAGTTGGCATAACGCGCGTTATGGCCCAGAGGGTAAAAAACACTCTCAAATGGGGGCACGCACGTACACCTGCACGCGCACGGCCCTGAGATCCGAGGTAGCGAAAAACTACAACATCGTAAAAAACAAAAAAAAAAAAAAAAAAAAAAAAAAAAAGCCTGGAGCTTCGACCCTGTCTTCCTGCGCCTCTTTTCGAGCCCGACCGATCTGTGAGGGCCCTGGGCGGCAGCAGCAGCAGCAGCGAACAAGAAGGGAAAACGCCTGGCTCGAAAAATGAAATCGCCAGGACGCGTGGCACCGCGTGCGATCCTCGGAGCCCCCCATGGGGCCACGAGGCGTGTGAGACGTGTGCCCAACTGGGCATGCGGAGGGCAGAGGCATGCATGGGAGGAGGAGGGGGAGGAGGGGGGGAGGAGGAGGAGGGGAAGGAGAAGGAGGAGGAGGAGGAGGAGGAGGAGGCCGTGCGCACGCGCGCGCGGCGCGCTCGGACGCGTCGCCGCGGGGGCGGGGCGGCGCCCCGGCCTGCTGCACGAGGCCCCCCGCGGCCACGCGGCGCAGCGCGCAGCTCAGGAGGCTGCGCGCGGGGGCGGCGCGGGGCCCCGGCCGCGCGCGGGGGGGCCCGCGGGGAGAGCCGGCTCGCGGGCGATCCGCCGGGAGGGCGGCCGCGGGGCGAGCTCCTCCTCCTCTCCTCCCCTCTCCTCCTCCTCCTCCTCCTCCCTCCCCTCCTCCTCCTCCCTCCTCCCTCCTCCCTCCCCCTCCTCTCCCTCCCTCCTCCTCCCCCTCCTCCTCCTCCCTCCTCTCTCCTCCTCCTCCCTCCTCCCTCTCCTCCTCCCCTCCCTCCTCTCCTCCCTTACCTCCCTCCCTCCTCCTCCAACTCCTCTCCTCCTCCTCCTCCCCCTCCTCCTCCTCCGCCTCCTCCTCCTCCTCCTCCTCCTCCGCCTCCTCCTCCTCCTCCTCGTCCTCCTCCTTCCCTTCGTCCTCCAGCTGGGCGCCATCGAGACGAGCGGGTGCGGGGCGAGGGTCTATCCAGATCCGCCGCCTGGGCGCCGACGCCCTGGTGCTCCAGCGGGCGGCGGATGTGGATAATATTTGGGCCCCTGGGGGCCCGAGGATGTCCACACCTACCTTGTGGCCGAGGCCCCCGAGGATGGATCCTCCCGGCGGTGGTCATATGTGAATTCCCGCCCCGGAGCAGGTGGAGGGGGGGGCCGAGTCTGGCGCCCACCCTGGGCACCTGACGCGGGAGCGAAAGGCTGCGCCCCAAGCAGCAACGCTTGAAATTCGGAGGCGTCGTCAAACTCTGCCCGGGAACTGTTTGACGCCGCTTTGTTTTATCTCTCTGCTTCTCTCTCGTTATCTATCTCTCTCTCTCTCTGTCGTTTGTTTTCTCTCTCTCTCTCTCTCTTGTCTGGCTCTCTCTCTCTCTCTCTCGTTCTCTGTCTCTCTCTCTCTCTCTCGGTAGTTTTTTTTTTCTCTCTCTCTCTCTCTCTCGTTTTGTGTGTATTTTCTCTCTCTCTCTCTCTCTCTTTATGTTTTTTGTTCTCTCTCTCTCTCTCTCTCTCTCTCCTACACACACCCAACACACCCGACTACAACTGATCGCAGACAAGCCGCGACATTCGGATAACATCGCGAACACATTTTTGGGGTGGCGGGAGCGGCCTCACGCGCAGCGGCGAAGCGGAGACAGTAGAAGTACCTAAACGCGAAGCCACGGCCGAGCCCTCAGGAAATCACAAAAACACACGCACACATAAGACACACACACACACACACCAACATTCAGTCGGCGGCTGCGAATTGCGATCGAGCGTTGTCGAAAGCACTGTGCACGAGTCGTCGCACACTGTACAGTGCAAGTGATGGGCGGTGTGCTAGAGGGACTGCAACCCCAAACGTTGACACGCAGCGGCCAGAAAACTGAAGAAAAGACTCAACTCAAAGTAGACTGAAGCGCAAGCAGACTGATGTGAATTGGCGGTCGTTGGATCACCGATGCGACGGCGTTAGGCAGAGAAGCGCAAGGGAAACTGTAAGTGCTGCCAGACCAGCAGGCTCGTGGGGTAAAGCGCCGAACTCAACAGAGAACCTGCGAGAAAAGGACCTACGGACCAGCGACGCAATAGGACATGACACATACCCTGAAAAAAAATGGTGGCATCGTGACGCGCAACACACGTAGAAGCACTGTACATGCGGGGCCGAAACCAAACTAATGAAGCCATGCCAAAAAATCCTCGGTCGGTAGCTACGCCACCAGGAGAGGCCAGCGTCAGTCAGTGACACGCCTGGGGTGGCTGAAAAAACGGCTGCAATAGCGCCGCCCGAATTGATTGGTAGGGTACCGACGCAACAGCAAACTCAGAGCCGACCGAAAACTGGGCAGCACAAGTAATATTGCGACGTGCACAGTACGCACCGTCTAGGTCGCCACCAGCTCGACCAAGGACGTCCCGTAAAGAGGAAGAATGGGGGAGGAGAGAGAGGGGGGAGAAGAAAAAGAAGCGTACCACGCCGGCCACGAGCGCCAAGCGTGCACGCGGAGGAGGCTCAACCCCCCGCAGTGGGAACGACCCAGAAAGAGAGGGAGAACGAGGAGAACAGGACCGACGAACAACCGCGGAGGGGAGCGCCGCCAGGGGTGGCGGGAACGCCGCGCCACCTCCGACAGGAAACACACACAGAGAACTGGGGAGGGGGAGAAGCGGCAAGAGTGGAGATCTACAGACGGCGCGAGGAGACGCGCGGACGCGACGTGCCAAACAGGGGCACGACAGAGCAGCTCAGCACCCCGCGGTGGGGACGACCCGGGAGGAGGGGGAGAGGGTGGGAGAGAGCAAACAGGAGCAGAGGCAGGAGGGGAGCCCAGAGAGACGACGGCGGGGGACCCCACGACGCGGCCGAGCCCGCGACCGACGACGGCGGCGACCGAGCAAACCCCGCGACCCAGAGGAAGAGGAGGGAACCGACGAACAACCGCGGAGGGGGAGCGCCGCCGGGGGTCGCGGGAACGCCTCGCCACCACTAACAGCGAACAGGACGCCACAGGGCCGAAGGCCGGGAGTGGCGGAAGCAAGGGTGGGCGAAGCACTACCGGGACAGCGGGGTGGGGCGGCGCACCTGAGGCGACGGATCGGTGTGAGCAGGGCGACTGATCGATGAGGAACACGGAACAACACACACACACACACACACACAAACACACACACACACTTTTGCGTCGGCGGCTGGGCAGAGGGCGACTGCTCTGGCGGATAGGCAACAGGGGACACGCTGTATGCAAATTGGGGCCGCAGTGCACGGAAGGAGGAGGAGGAGGAGCCCCGGCGCGACGGGAAGAGAAGAAGCGGGGCCACTCAGAGCTGCCGGCTGCGGCGGGGGAAGCGCGGGGGGAGGGAGCAGCGCCGGCACACACACACACACACAACTCAACGCAGCATCAAGGACCCACACACCGAAATCCCACCAGCCCTCTGGGCTGAGGTGGTTTAGAGCGTTTCTTCTTTTGTCCTCCCCCTTTTCTGCCGCTTCGGGTAGGGTTTCTACCCCTCCCCCTATCTCCTCCATCTGGGTCTGGAGGGGTGGGTCGACACAAATCAGAGAGTCCAAGCTGGCCTCATCGAGAAAGAAAAATCACTGATCGTCCTGAGGTTTGGACCCTCTTTTTTACTCGCTGGCCTGCAAGATGGCCCAAGACGGCCCGAAAGGCCACCAGGAGAGCCCCAACCGACGGCGAGGCGGGCCCCCCCCCCCGTCTTATCGAGGCATTGCATGGTGCGGCAAAAGCTTGGGGAAGTGCCGCGAGGGAAGAGACGAGCCAGGACCGCGCCAAAGGGGGAGGGGCCAGGCCCCCCCACCCCCTGGCGCGTCCTGCGAAGCAGGTACTGTCCTGCACGACGCTAGGGTCGTTCTTTCGTTGCGCCGCTCGCAGGCGCGGCGCGGTCGCGCCTGAAACCCCTGTGCGGGAGAGGTTCCTGCAATTTTGTTCCCAGAGGTGCGGGTGGGTGGGGCAATGAAATCGCGCTCTTGCCGCGCACGTATGCCAATGCGCTCGATCCGCGGGAGGGGGCCGGAGTCGCCGCGCTCTCTCCCAGGAGGCGCTGCGCGCGCGGTGCCCCCCGCCCTGCCGTCAGCCCCCTATGCCCTGGCCCGACCCAGCCCAAAGCCGGGGCAGAAGCGACCGACGGCGAGGCGGGCCCCCCCCCGTCTTATCGAGGCATTGCACGGCGCGGCAAAAGCTTGGGGAGGTGCCGCGAGGGAAGAGACGAGCCAGGACCGCGCCAAAGGGGGAGGGGCCAGGCTCCCCCACCACAGGACGCGTGGCCGGGCCCCCCCCCATCTGGCGTGTTCCGGGGCACGACCTGCCCTGCTTACTTCTCCCCAGTCCCTGGATTTTTCCGGGGGGGGGCGTCCCCGATCCCCTGCACTCGCTCCAGCCACTTTCCCCCGGCCCGCGGGCTCTGGGCGGGCGGGGAGGCGATCGGGGGAAACCAACCGGGCGCGTTGGCCCGCCTCCGGCTTTCTTGCGAAGTTCCAACAGGCGCGTTCCCCCACATCGGCCGCGTGTCCGGTCCAGCGCGGCTGAAGGCCCCCGGGCTCCGCCGATGAGATTTCATGACCTCGCCGCCCACCTGGAATGAAACCTCATGAGCAGAGACTTGGTGGGGGAACGCCACCGCTTGGCCCCCCCTTTGCGCTCACCCTATTTGTTGCTTGCCACCGACGGGCTGCGTCTCCTGGTCGCGCCCATCCCCCCTGCCCCACCGCACCTTCCGACTCTTGAGGACGCGCATGAAGCCACTGCTCGGCCCTGTGCGGGCCACTGGGGGGCGGGGGAAGGACCGGAGGAAGCCGCGGGCGCATTGGCCTCGACGTCGAGGCCTATTTCGATGCGCGATGCGCCCCCCTCCCCTTTCGTTCGGAAGAGATTGCCCACATGGGGGGCTTCCGCCGGATCACCCGCGAGGGCCCACGGTGCCCGAGGCCGAGGAGGGTGGGGGGGGCGACCGTACCCGCCGCCACCAAGCTGCGCCAACCCGGACCTTGCCTCCACCTCGCCACCTGAGGCTGGTCTGGGCTGGCGCGGCTCGGCCCGCGGTCAGAGGGGAGCGGGGCGCCGCGTATCTATGGTCGAGCACTTCATTATGGCATTTCGGCCGAGGGGCTGCGTCCCCGGGGCCGGCCCCCGCCTCCAAGCCGATTGGTTTCAAGCCCGGGCACCACGGACCGAGCCCAGGGGACCAGGGACCGGGAACGGGCCAGGAGGCCGGGGCCGACGCCGAGGGAAGCCGCGGGGCGCATTGGCCCTCCAACGGTCGATTTGTTTTCCTTAATTGCTGGCAAATTCCCCTTTTCCCCAACGCGCCCCAGACCCTCGTCTCCCAAGGGGAATTCCTCCACCTCGCCCAGGAAACCCGGGACCACATACGCAGAAAGCTGGGGAGGAATGAGCTGAGGCGGCGCTCTTGAGGGGGGCGGCTCTGCGCCGGCCCTCCTTAAGGGGGGGATCTTCTACTTTGACTGCATCCGATACTTCACGCGCGGGTGTGTTTTTGGACTCCCGCCACTCGGCCGCGCGCAGCCTCCGCAGCGCGGCGGGGGGCCGGGGGCGCCGCAGGCCGGCCACTCACGGCGGCTCGGCGCGCCGGCGGGGGCAGGCGCCGGCGCCCGCAGCTTGTAGCCCCAGCTTGCGCAGCGGGGCGGCCTGGCGCCGCTCCTTGGCGCCAGCGATGCCCACCACGTAGAACCCGATGGCGACGTCGTTCTCCGCGAAGCACGCGGTGTCTGGCGCGGGCGCGCACGGCCACCACCGCGCGGCGGCTGCGCAGGTGCTACCGGCGCCCTTGATGACGGCTGCGGCAGTGCATCTGACGGTCCCGGTCGGCGCGCGGGGCCACGCCGCCATGCGCAGGACGACGGTCGCGGCGCCCTGGCCGCTGGCATGCGGCCGCGCGGCGAGGCAGAGCAGCCGCAGCAAGTCCGCGTGGAAGTGCGTGGCCGCGGCCACAGCGCCGGCCCGCCTGGCGCGGATCCAGCCCAGGGTGATCTGCTTGTCGTCCGCGTCGAAGGAGATGGCGGCGAGCAGCGCGGCAAGGGTGCCCGCGTCTACTGCCATCAGGCGGAGCGCGGCGCGCGCGCGGCGGCTGCGGTCGCTGCGCGCCCAGTCCTCCTGAGCGGCGGAGACTGCCGTTGCCCAGGCACCGGCGTCCATGTGGAAAGTCGCTGGGAACCGGGGCTCGGCCGCCCGGAGGCGGTAGCGCTGCGCGAGAGCCGCGGCCTCGGCCCGCTTGGCGGGCTCGTCGGGCCTAGAGAAAGAGTCCGCGGGATTGCTCTCCGACGCGACCCACTCGATCCAAAGTTCAGTGCCGAGGACGCCGAGCAGGAGCCAGATGGCGCCGACGATGGCCACGCTGTCGTCGTCGCCTGCTGCGCCGCGGCGGATGTTCCCCAGGGCGGGAGTGTTGTCTTCGAACAGGACCAGCCGGGCGCCGCGCACTGCCTCGGGGCGCGTCAGCAGCAGGACGAGCACGGCGAGCAGCTCGGACTGGGCGTTCCGCTGCTTCTTGCCGACCTTGAGCAGCTCTGCGCAGAGGTGCGGCGGGACGCGCGCGGAGAAACTGTGGCCGCCGCGCGTTGGGGACAGCAGCATGCCCCCGATGGCGCCTGTTCCGGCTTCCATGTCCCAGGACCCGTCGACCCACCCGATGACGACGGGGCGGCCCGTGCCGTGGTCGCGCTTGTGGTACAGCGGGCACCGCAGTAGTGCTTTCCACCAGGACCGCGCGTGAGCGAGGCGGCGAGACCAGCCTCCGGCGTGCGAGGATACGGGAGAGGCGCAAGCGCGGCCAACGCGGCCGAACATCGCCGAGGTGGCGAAGCCAAGCTGGCCGCCCAGCCTGGCAGCGTCGCGCTTGCCGAGGCGTTGTGCTCGCAGGGCGGCGTCCACATCGTCGGACAGCGCGGCGCGGCGCTTGGCGGTGAGGCGCAAGCCCGCCCAGCGTGGCGTGGAGAGGACGTCCAGGCCTAGCAGGTCCAGCACGGCTGCTGGGCCCTGGTTCTTCCCCTCCTTTAGCGGGATCCCGAGCATGGCGTGCAGCTCCTGGAAGACCCATTCGTGGAGGGCGGCCCATTTGGCGGGTGAGGCGCGGTGGAAGTCGTCCACGTACGCGTTCTGCGGCACGCTGAAGATGCGTCGGAGGGGGTGGCCCACGCTGGCGGCGACTCGCGCGTACCCCCACACGGCCCCGAAGGCGCCGAACGGCAGGGCTTTGCGCGCGCAGGCCCGGTAGCCTCCGGCATGGCCGACGCTGTCGTCCCAGACGAGGCATGCCAGCAGGGGCACGTCGTCGGGGTGCACTGGCCATTGGCGGCATGCTTGGGCGTGGTCCCCCTTGGCGATGAGCGGCACGCCGTCGGCGTCCCAGTCGCGGAACGTGTCGGCGATGAAGGATACGGCGTCGAGGAGCGAGGCCAGGCCGGCCAGGCGCATGCGCCCCTGGGTGGCGACAGCCAGGTTGAGGCCGCTCGCTGTCGCATCGTCGATGGGGCGAACCTTGTAGGAGGTGGCGGCGCGGCCCTGGACGCGGGGGAAGCGGCGCGTCGGTAGCCACCGGGCGAAGGGGACAGTGGAGATTACTCGCCCATCGGCGTCGAGCCACAGGCTCCACGGTCCGTCCAGCTTGCCCGCTGCGCAGTTCTCCTGGGTGACTCGGAGCACTTCAGCCATGTCCGGCTCGCGCTTGGAGTTCTGGAGCATATCCAGCAGCATGGCGCCCTTGGAATCGAGCGCGTTCTCGAGCGCGCGGTCCAGCGCAGCTGCGTCCGGCAGGTCGGCGCCGCCCATGTTCGCGAACAGCTGCGTGTCGGGCAGGACGCCCCCCATCCGAAATCCCGACATTATGTCGGCAATGACATCGGTGTCCTCGTGACCCGATGCCAGAAATAGTTATCGGTGTAGCGGCCCGTTGTATCCCGGAGGCCAGACGTCGCGGACGTGAGAGGATAAGCCCGCTCGCCAGGCACGCGTGGCTTCCGCGAGTGAAGCCTGGACGCGTTTCCAGTGGTGTACCTGCCCGATGACCCACTGCTCGTAGTCGGGGCAGTCGCGCGCCCAGAGCAGCGCGCTGCGGATGGGGGCCGCCAGGGGTGCGGCAGGGGGCTCCGCCCACGCGGCCGATGGTTGGCTGTTCGCATGGTCCCACGCCTGGTCGATGTGCTGGATCGGCGTGATGGTGCGCTGCAGCTGCGTTGCGGGTTTGTCGCACCGGCGGGAAACGCCGAGGTGCCGGGGCGGTGCCCCTGCGGCGTCCCCGTACCAGGGGATGGTGTCCGGGTGCGCAAGCCCCGGGCGCCGCGCGATGCAGGGCGGCGGGGCATAGGGTGGCTGCTGGGCATGGTCGACGCTCTCGAACTCCTGCTCGGTCGCCGGATCGCGGAGCCTGGCGGCGTGTTCGACCATGGTGGCGCCGCACTCGGCGGGGCACGCTTGCGGCGGGGCGCGGGCGGCGGGGGGCCCATCGCGCGGGTTGAGCTGGCTGCGCTGCCGGCTGCGGTCCGGCTGTGAGCGCGGGGAGTGCGAGAGGCACGGCGGGCGTTTGTTCCGGCGCCGTGGTGGCGAGGTATTAGGGGCGCCCGAAGCCCGCGTGGGCGCCCAGTCGAGGCTAAGCGGCGGCGTGGTGTCAGGGGCGCCCGAAGCCCGCGCGGGCGCCCAGTCCAGGCTAGGCAGGGGACCGCTCTGCGCGTCGGCGGCCTGGAACTCCGCTGCCGCGCTTGCGGGGGCTAGTCAAGCGTGGCGGAACCAGCACGCGTCGCCGTGCTTGCAAGTCTTCCCGTTGCTGAAGTGCCAGCACAGGTCGCCCTTGGAGGTGCGCCGGGCGGGCTCTGCGGGTGGCGCGGGCTTGCCCCTGCCCTTGCCCTTGCCTTTGCCCTTGGGGGGCTGGGCCGGGGCGCTCTGGTAGCCGGCTGCGGCGGCCGCCCGCTCGCGGCGCTCGCCGCGGGTGAGGCGGGGGCGCTTCGGGAGGCTTTCGCCAGCGCCGTCGAGGCGAGCGCCCGCGGCGTTGGCTGAGCCGGGGGCGGAGTGGCCGGCTTGGCGCGGCGCAAGCGCGAGCCGGCCGTCCAGCTCGTCGGCGTCTGCTGGGAGGGAGCTGAAGACGGTGGCGTCCAGCTTGTCGGCGTTCCGGCTTGCTTTCGCCCACTGGCACTGGAAGAGGCAGAGCGCGCGCTGCACCTCCGTGAGCGCCGTCGGGCGGTAGCCGAGCATTGGCTGCTTGGAGCGTCGGACGCGGCTCCAGAACCGCTCGTGGAAGGTCACCAGATAATCGATGTCTTTGACCCAGCCGCAGAGGAAGAGCAAGTTCTCGATGAGGTAGCCAGCCTCCTCGAGCTCGACGAGGCCGCCAGCCGGCGCCTCGGAGATTGCGGGCATGCGCCAGGCGAGGACGCCGCCGACGCCGGGTTTGAGCTCGGCCGCGGCGGGCCGGGCGCGGGCCGCTGCGTCGGACTGGACCTTGGTGGCCGCGACGGCTTCGAACTCCTGGTTGTTCCGGCGGAGGCGTTCCCACCGGCCCCACATCCGCAGGGGCGGGAGGCGGGCGGGGTCCACTTCGCAGCGCCGCGCCGTGTTGAGCGCCTGGAGTCGCTGCTTGCGGTGCTCCGGGCTGAGGTCGTAGTACTCCTCCCCGGTCGGGTCGCGCGCCTCAATCGGCGTGGCCTCGGGAGCGCTGGCCGCGGCGGCGTCCTTCTCGCAGTGCTTGTAGCACTTCTCGTAGAACTGGCGGACCTTGGCATAAGCCCCGGAGCCGGGCTTGACGGTTTCGCAGGCGGCCGCGATGGACTCCAGGAACGCGACGTCTACGGTCTTGGTGACGGTGGCGCCGTTCTCGTCCTTGAGGAACTGCGGCGAGACGCTGTCCACGACCAGCGCGGCGTTGTCCAGCCCCTGCGCGGTGAGGTGGTCGCGGACCTGCTGGGGCAGTGCCGCGACCCAGTCGCCGAACGCGGCCATGGCGCTGCCCGGCGGCGGCGGCGGGGCGGGGCGCGGGCGCAGGCAGCTCCAGGGAAGCGCGGCTGCGGGTGGGATCACAAGAATTGACCTCAGGGACAGCACCGCCTATCCCCACGGAGGACACCCCCCCGCCGCAAAGCGGCCGCAGCTGCGCCACACCGAGAGCCGCGCCCGCACGGCCCCCGCAGGCCGACGGGACGCGCGCCACCACGGCCCCACAGGGGCCGCGCGGGGGGGGGGGGGCCGGGGCGAGGACGCGGGAGGACGGCGGTGCAGTCCCCGTGTTTGACGCGGGCGTCGCACAGCGGCGGAGCAGGCAGCGTCCACTGGTGCTGGCCAGCGGGGCAGGGGCCACCGACGGGGGAGGGGGGGGAAGACCAGGAACCGCCCAGAACACCAGACCCGGCCGCACGGCATGGGCACTGCCTGCTCCTCCGCAGACACCTCTTTGGGTACCCAGGAAGGTGGGGGAGTCCGCGTCGCGTTCGGCCCCGCATGGGATTTACGCTTGCACGCGCAGCCAGAGCCCGCGACCAGCCGGGCGGCGCGCCGCCCCGTGGCCCGCTCGCGAGCGTGCGCGGGCGTAGCCCGCGTGCGGTGGGCTGACCGCGACGTCGAAAGCTAGACCTCCCCCCTCGTCGTAAGCGGAGTGCTTTTCCGTCTTCTGTCCATGACCCTGCCGCGACAGGGAGGAGAGGGTGGGAGCTCGTCACCCCTGGTCCCGCAGCGACGACGCCCGCGCATGCCTGAGGGCCGGCCAAGCCGACCCCGGCGCGGCGCACGCGGGCGCCTCCTGTGTGGGCCATGGTCGTTGACAAGTTCCTCGCCTTCCTGCCTGCGCGCTCATGGGGGTGGGACAGGGGGGGGAGGGGCCCGCGGTCTCATTGGACTCGCCATGCCGTTGCAGTTGCTGCCGGCTTCCTGGCCCACCCCCACTCTCTTGACACCGGTGGGGGGGGGGGAGGGGTGTCGGACGGTCGGCGGGCGCTCCGCCACGGGGACCTCACTGGGCCCCCCCGGGCTTTTCTTGACGCCGCTCTAACACAGTCTCGCACGCGCTTTGGGCGACCCCAACCCCCGGCCCGGCCCTCACCGCTGTTTACCCAAACGGGAATTACATACCTTGCAGAACTCGTACTGGGGCCCCGACAACTGCTGGGACCACTTCGCCTGGGCCACCGCGAAATCGCACAGGTTCGCGACGGGCCCGTGCGGCGTCTCGACGACGAGGCGCTCCTGGCGGCGGCGCTTGCGCGGCTGCTCTGCGGGCGGGCAGGGCGGCGCTGCGGGGGTCGCTGCGTGATAATACGCAGTCGGCTTGCACAATCTGGTGGTCTCGGCGACGAGGTACCCGAGTTTGTTGGCGAGGCACTGCACTCCACTTGAGGTGGCCTCGGTCTCTCCAGGGAGCCACGCTACCGCGGGGGCCACGGTCCTGCTCCCACTCCGCGTGCCTGCCCCCGCAGACGGCACCACGGAGCGCCCATGTCCTGTCGCGGCAGCTGCGCGCGGTGGCGCGGCGGCGCCCACCTCCGGGCCGCGGCTCGCCTCTGGCGGCGCAGCAAGGGGGGCGACTGCGTGGCCCAGCGGGGCCAGCTCCGCGGGATTGTGCGCCCGCTCGGCGGCTGCTGCGTGCGCGGTGGGCGGCGTGCCCGCCCGTGGGACGCGGGCGGGCGCAGGCTGGGGCGCTGGCGCGGCGCCGGCGCCAGCCTGCCCTTTGGCTGGCGCGGCCGCGGGCGCACTGGCGGGCGCCACGGGGTTTTCGCGTGACGGAGCCGCGGCGAGCGTGAGCGCCGCTGGCTGGGCGGCGGGGCAAGCGCCCTCTCGCCACAGCATTCCGGCGGGCGCGTCTGGGTTGAACGCCCCTTGCACTATGCGTTCGAGCAGTTGCCGCAGCTTGGCGACCGGCGCTGCCAGCACCGCGACGTTGTAAGCGCAGACGACTTTGCCGATCCCTGAGGAGCGGTGGCGCCCCAACACCTCGATCTCGCGGTCTGTGAAGATGCCACTGCTGCCCGCCCACGTGAGGATGGTGCGTTTTGCAGAATGCAGGCCGATGGCCTTGGCCTCACTGGGTGAGAGGCCTGCCGCCCTGAGGGCGCGTCGCATGGCGGCCATCCATTCGTCGGGCTCGGCCGCGCCAGGCGCCGCTGCCGCGGCGAGTCGCCGCGGGGAAGGGACTGCGAATTCGGCCGCCCCTGGGAGGCCCAGCTCCTCGAGGTCCTCGGAGTAGCCGCGGGCCCAGCACGAGGGCGGCTGGGACACGCCGCGCAGTGGGGCAAATCCACGGCATGCCACCTCGCAGGCGCGTCGCTGTGGCCTCCGTGGCTTTTGTTTTGTACGCGGTCCCATAGAAGCAGCCTCCAGACGCAACGCCTTCCTGGACCCAGTCTCCGAAACGGTCCCACACTGCATCGTCGTTCCGCAGGGCGGCGAACAGCTTGCGCAATTCTGTGCGGATGGCTACCCTGTACACGGGGCTGTGCAGAGCCGTGGCTGACCGCTCGAGCATGCGGATTTGTTCAACCGTGTAGATCCGGGGCTGCCGCGCGGTTGCTGGGGCCTCTCGCCTGTGGGCTAGCGCGAGGTGTTGGACGCAGACCTCGCCTGCTGGGAGCGGTGGCGACAGCCCAGCGGCGCGATTGAGAAATCGCAAGGATTCCAGCCGCGCCGCGGGCACTGCGGGGGCGGCGCCCCCGTCCAGAAGGTCCACGACGTACCTCACGAGGAGCTCGGCTGTCGCGTCGTGATCTTGGAAACTGCAATGATCCACGCCAGGGCGCTCTTCGGACGCCCACGCGAGAAACTTCTCTATGTTCGCCACGTGTATCTGATCGTGCGCGCCGACCAGCGCCGCAGGACCCGCTCCTGGTGCCGCGGCCCAAGGTCGGGGCCGAGGCGGTTCGACAGCTTCCAGGTGCCCCCTCCGACGGTGTCCAGGACCCGGGCCCACCTTGGCAGGACCTGCTGCAGCGCGTGTTTGCGCTTGTCTGCGAAGCAAAGCACGAGCGGTCTCAGCGGGAGCCCCGCTTTCCGCTGCGGCGCCGGGCGCCTTCGCTTCCGCCGCGGCGCGGGAGCTGCATGCCTGGGGCCTCCGCGGCGTTTCGCGCGCCGGGGCGGCGGCCCCCTGCGCTCATGGGGGCCGGCTGCGACTCGCTCCGCGGCTGCCAGGCGAGACGGCGGCGCGGCGCGCGATCGCGGCGGCTCGGCTTGAACGTCGAGCGGCCTCTGGGCAGAAACTGCGCGGGCGAGGCCCGCAGCCACCGAGCCGCTGGTTCGCCCGCGGCTGAAGAGGGGATGGGCCCCTGGCGCTGGCCGCTGGCCCAGCGGACGCTGGCGCACGTCGCCCCAGCCTGCCCAGGCCGCGCGCCGCTGCGTCGCCTCTGGCGCCCCGGCGTCGCTCGCTGCGCCGGCGGCCTCGCTGAGCAGGCGGCGTCCCGGGGCAGCGCGGGGCAGGCCCACGGCCGTCTCCCGCTCGTGCCAGCAGGCCGCACAGCGAAACAGCAATGCCCCACTGGCGGGCGCGGGATGCGCGGCCCGCGCCTCCCGCGAACACGAGAAGAAGGCAATGAAATCGCGCTCTTGCCGCGCACGCATGCCAATGCGCTCGATCCGCGGGAGGGGGCCGGAGTCGCCGCGCTCTCTCCCGGGAGGCGCTGGAGCCCCAAAAGGGCCCCAAGAACCCACTGTGAGACCCCATGAGGCCTCAAAGAGGCCCCAAGAGGCACCGAAGAGGCACCCAAGAGGCACCCAAGAGGCACCCAAGAGGCACCCAAGAGGCACCCAAGACGCTCATAGAAGCCCCCCAATGGCCGACACGAGGCCCCCAAGACGCACGAATGGGCCTCCAAGAGACCCCCAAGAGACATCCCAAGAGACCCCAGGAGGAAGGGGCCTCCGACCCATTGCGATTCCCCCAGGAATCCCGATGACGCTGCGTTCCCCCAGTAAGGATAGCTCCCCTTGGGCGTCTTTCCTATATGGGTTGGTGGTGATGTGTATATATATATATATATCTATTAATATATATATATATATATATATAATATATGTACATACACACACTAGAACCACGCGCGCGCTACGCGCGCGCTTAGGTTCTAGCTTCGCCCGGGGCAACGGCCAAACAACGGACGAGGAGGTTGAAGGCTGAATGCACTTCGGTTATTCGTCGAGTTTCGCGGTCGTGGTTCGAAAAGCTTTTGGGCGCTCCTCACCCCCAGGCGGCCCGAGGCGGCCGAAAACGACACCTCTTCCTCGTCCTCCTCTTTCCCCCTGCTCTTGCTCCTCTCCTCCTACTCTTCCTCCTCCCCCCATCGTCCCCTCCTTTTTCCCCCTTCCTCCTCCTCCGCCCCCTTCCTCCCCTCCTCCTCCTCCTCCTCCTCCTCCTCTCCTCCTCTTCCTCCTCCTCCGCCTCCTCCTCCTTCCTCCTCCTATTTTCCCTCCTCCTCCTCCTTCCTCCTCCTCCTCCTCCTCCCTCCTCCTCTTCCTCCTCCTCCCCTCTCCTCCTCCTCCTCCCCCACACCTCCCCTCCTCCTCCTCCTCCTCCCCTCCCCCTCCTCCCCTCCTCCTCATCATCAATCATCACATCACCATCACCATCACCATTACCATCATCATTTTCACATCCTCCTCCTCCTCTCTCCCTCCTCCTTCCTCCTCCTCCTCCTCCTCCTCCTCCTCCTCCTCCTCCTCCTCCTCTTCCTCCGCCTCCTCCTCCTCCTCCTCCTACGCCCGCCTCCTCCTCCTCCTCCTCCTCCTTCCTCCTCCTCCTCCTCCTCCTCCTCCTCCCCCTTTCTCCTCCTCCTCCCCCTCCACCCCCTCCTCCTCCTCTCACTCCTCCATTTCCTGCTCCTTCTCCTCCTCCTGTTCAGACTACATGGCTCGCCAAACGGCACTGCGACGCCGCGCAAGCATTGGGCCACATCGGATAAAAAAGGGACCACTCGGGGGAGGCCTCCCTCTTCCTCTTCCTCCTCCTGTTCTCCTCTTCCTCCACATCCT